TGCAGGTATCTTTATTCATATATAATAATATTTATCTTAGATTTATGTTTACATGTGTAGACCCACACACAGTGCATGTTAGTACAGCCATCGTTACTTGTCACATCTGAGCTGCACTTTTACTTTCACCCAAACCTTGTATTCTATATTTGTTAACAAATAACAGTATTACAGTAAACATCTCTGCAACTAGATTTCATACACTATAGGATAACTGGTGCCTTTTACAGACATAGATTTCTGTTAAGCTCAAGGACACTGAAACATGCTTTTTTCCTGATCAACAACTCTGAAACATTAACTTCTCCTGCCTGGTAGACTGAGTTCTAGAAATAATTTATTCACTATTCTCATTGTTCCTGACCGCATCAAAAGTTCAGAAATCTATAACTTCATAATCTGACAGCTAACAGGTAATTTGCTTTAAAACAAACCCAACAACTTTTTTCTTAGTCTTGTAGCAATTCTGAGGTTCTGTCTACATGGTGGTCACCACAGTGGAATCTAAGAGCAGTATGGGTCTCCTAAATAGATGCGGTTCTACAGGATTCAATTGTACACAAAAAAGAATTAATATAAAAGAGAACTATTGAAAAGGTATATTAAGTATGAATCCAATAGTAGCTGCAAACTTCTCCCTCCAATTACAAACTTTTTTAAAAATAAAAAAGTATGTACTGAATTTCTAAAACCACAGCATCATTCCCTTAAACATCTGTATATTAGCTCATATGGGTCTATTGTCTTTTTGATGAGTGGGAGATTTATGCAGGTAACATACACAGAATGAAATGGAAACAACACTCGTGAAATGCCCAGAAAGGAAAATAGATTCTAGAATCTTAGTTCTTCAAAACAGAGATAGTGACTATTTTGCTACTATTCCTATGTGTCATCATAGGCACAGGGTAGCCTCTTTCTAAGAGACCTTACTTCTGATATGAGTTTCCTTAAACCAGCATTCTGTTTTTTAAGAACATGCTTCCTGTTAAGGGCTTGGACACAGTGGTGTAATGCGCTATGGGGGTGTGCTTTCTGAAGCACACTAGTTGCACGTTAATTGGTGTGTGTACCCTGCTGGTGTGTACCAAATATTCTCTAGTGTGCTTTAACACAGTGCTGTTTGAAAACAGTGCTACATTAAACTGAAGTGAAGATCTTACTCTCTGTGTTTAAATTAACTCTTTACCAAGTCGCTTTTAACATTCATTTATTTACATGACAAACATCCATTTGCATGACAAACTTCTGCTGTGAGATAGAAGAATAAGTGAATATTGTTTTCTGGTCTAATAGGTCCATATGTATCTTGTATCTCCCAAATACTTTTTGTTTAAATGAAAGAAAAACACTCCAAGTCTTCTTTAAAGCAATATTAAATATAACATGACCAGTACTATTTTTATGTAGCAAGAGGGAGTGAATCAATTTCCAATTGCTCTTACATGATAGATTGCCAAAAATGCCATCCAATTCCATTGAAGACATGCTCTCCACATTTTGAGACTCTGTGAGATTCACAGAATCCATGAATCTATAAAGAAAGAACAAAGATTTTAAAGATATGAATATATACATTTTCTGTGGTTTTCAATAGATCTAAAAGGTATCAAAGATGTGAACCTTTTATTCACAGAGTCCGGCTAGAATGTTTAGATATAATAGAAACTCTTGTATGGACATAAAACGAATCCAAGGGCATGTTTATTGAAGATGCAGTAGGGGAGACCCTCTGAATCAATATCCTATATAGCGCAAAGAGAGAACTGTGCTGCTGGAAGTGCAGACTTTCTGATGAAATATAAAATTGAGACCTTGAACCTTAGCTATTCTTTGCCTATGGGCCCTAATTCAATAAAGTATTTATTGATGTGCCTTGCCTTAAGCCTGGGTTTAAATCTCACTTACTTCAATTAGACCTAAGCACATGCTTTAAGTGAAGCAAATGCTTAATTACTTTGCTGAATTGGCACCTTCATCATTAAAAGACCGCATGCCACTTTTAAAAAGAGTATTATGTTTACAACACCTGCTAGCTTGGCTAAATCATAACTTGGACCATTATTATTTGTTAATCTAAACTCCTCTTATAGTTTCATTTGGAAAATTTAATCCTCACTTGCCTACCCTCTTTTGAAAACTGTTCTATGGTGTGGTAGTGCCAAACAGCAACCTCATTCCACTCCAGAAACGCTGGGTGCTTACATGTAAACAGTCCCTAAAGCACTTACAAATGTAAATAGCTTAATGTTTATTGGAACTAAAATTCTAAAATACTGCATTTAAAATGTCCAGACTAGTCTCAAAGATTATTTACAGAACTTACGCTTTTAGTTCTTTGACATCTGGATTATTTTCTGGCAAGACCCTAATTCCTCGACCATAACAGGTGCCACCATGAAGATGAAATTCTACATAGGAAACATCAGGCTGGTTCTCAGCACTGGCTTGTTTTGTATGCAGACTGTAAATTCTCAGAAAGCTTCCAACCTAAACAAACACATGATTTCATAATACAAAATGATTAGAATTATCATGCTTTTCTCCTAGAAAAAGCCTATGAATCCTCAGAATCAATCCCCTTGTCTACTTTTACTCCACTTTACTTTTACTCTCAGTGTTAAGCTGGTGTCCAACTGTCCCATCAGTTGAGGAAGACTGGATCTGGCTTCCTGCAAAGTCTATCAATTCTGCTCTCCAAGCAGCCAAAGTTGCTGCTACAAAGCAGACAAGGCCAAGGACTTCCTCCCTGGAAGGACAGAATACATTTTTATAATTGCAATAAGACTCTCCAGAGACAGATCTGTGTTGTAATTTTCATGTACACATGGTTCATTTGATAGCACTCAGTATTTGGCTCAGGGCCGCCCAGAGGATTCAGGGGGGCTGGGGTCTTCGGTGGCAGAGGGCCCCCGCCGCCGAAGACCAGCACTTCAGGCGGCAGGTCCCGGGGCGGAAGGACCCCCCGCCGCCGAACTGCCGCCGAAGACCCGGAGCGGAAGAAGCTCCGGGGGCCTGGGCCCCGCGAGAGTTTTCCGGGGCCCCCGGAGCGAGTGAAGGACCCCGCTCCAGGGGCCCCGAAAAACTCTCGTGGGGGCCCCTGCAGGGCCCGGGGCAAATTGCCGCACTTGCCCCCCCCTCTGGGCGGCCCTGATTTGGGTTCATGTCCACCACAGCACTAGGAGTAAATTAATGCAATAAATTTTACACCTCACCATATTTTATTGTTCAATGAACAAATAATCTACTTTGGAGCATCAAAGAACCAACACTTTTCACAGCTCCCTACCTTTGACACTACTTCTAACGCTGCCAGACTTCCTCTCCAAGGTCAACAATAGGTACAGTATTCCCCGCCTTGCTTAGAATCAGTTTTGTTATCTCACAACACAGTCTTGCCAAATTACAAAATAATTTTAAATCTATTTACAAAGATAACTTCAAAGACAAAGGAGGTCCCAGAAGATTACTGGTGTTTCACATATTTTCAGAATGATTATTTTTTATTATAACAAAAATAAATGGCAGTTTTTTCATAAGGTAGGCAAATTGGGGGGAGTTAACTATGTTGCTCATTTTCCTTTGACTTATTTTAATGATGTAGGAATATAATTTACTGTTTTCCATATCCTCGTTGAAAAATATCAGCCAGGATTCAGTTGATAGGCTGACAGTTACGCAGCCTTCTTTCAAGTTGCAAATATTTAATAATCTGGATTTATATTTGCTCTAAATACCTTTGAAACATGACTCATATATGTAAATTAAAGAAGAAACTAAATTCACACTGGATTAACCTCAATATTGCAGGGGTCACAATTAAAAAGTTCTGTTTTGACTGCCTGGTTTAAACACAGAATCGCCCACACTGGCAGAAATTTCTTAACTGCACTCATAGCACTTATCGGGCCAGATTCTCAGCAGGTGTAGACTGGAAAAACTCCATTGAAGCCAATGGATTTATGCAGATTAGTATTAACTAATGGTGTGGCCCATTATTTTTATAGCCACACCTGTTTTGCATTACAGTTTACAGTGGGTGCAGTCACAGTTCAGGAGACATTCTTTGTTACTTACACACCTAGAGAATTATTATTTTTTTTAAATAAAAATGTATGATTAAGTGTTTTGCATTTGTTCACTTACATGATAAATATTTAAAGTTTGAGGGAGCAAGAGGGAAGGGACTGGAGATAATGGCCTGCACCTTTAAAAATCAATGGGAGACTTGCAATTGTCTAAGCACAGAACCAGTCCCAAGACAGAGAGGGACTAACCGAAACTACGAGTCTTGAAGACAGATTTAAGAGTCTACAAGGTGCAAAGTGTCTGGGAGTGCATTCCTGGAATATGGAGAATGGTGACAGAAGGCAAAAAGTTGCTTCTGAGAGGAGGATATCAACAAAGCATCGAAATGTGATGAGTTGGCAGAACATAGGTTGTAGGTGGAGAAAAGGAACTGTAGTCAGGAGCCACACTGTACAGAACTTAGAAGAGGAAGTTAAAGAGTTTGAGCTTGATGCAGATGAAGACCAGAAGTCAGTGTAAGTTTTCAAGAGAGCAATATATATGCACACAGTTAAGTGGAACAGTGAATAAAGAAGATGATTTTTCCAGTAGCATGATGGGTAGACTGACTGGCGCACTGTGAAGGCTGAAAGAAAAGCTATTCAAATCTTTAAAATTAAAAAAAAAAAAAATAGTACTTATTTTATTTCCAAACCACCACCCACTAGTCAGGATACTGATGATTGAGAAACACCATACAATTACTGTAATAAAAATCACACTCTTCAAATTAAATTGGGACAACCAAAGCAGACTTAGATATAAGAACAGCCATACTGGGTCAGAGGTCCATCTAGACCAGTATTCCGTCTTCTGACTGGTCAATTCCAGGTGCTTCAGAGGGAATAAACAGATCAGAGCAATCATCAAATGATCCATTCCATGTTACCCAATCCCAGCTTCTGCCAAACAGAGGCTAGGGATATTTCAGAGCATGGACCTGCATCCCTGACCATCCTATTGAGGGACTATCCACCATGAACTTATCTAGTTTTTTTTTTAACCCTGCTATAGTCTTGGCCTTCGCAACATCCTCTGGCAAAGAGTTCCACAGGTTGACTGTGCGTTGTGTGAAGAAATACTATCTTTTGTTTGTTTTAAACCTGCTGCCCATTACTTTCATTTGGTGACCCCTAGTTCTTGTGTTATGAGAAGTAAATAACACTTCCTTATTTACTTTCCCCACACCAGTCATGATTTTATCGACCTCAATCATATCTCCTCCTTAGTTGTCTCTTTTCCAAGCTGAAAAGTCTATCCTCAATGGAAGCTGTTCCATACCTCTAAACATTTTTGTTGCCCTTTTCTGAACCTTTCCCAATTCCAATATATCTTTTTTGAGATGGAGCAACCACATCTGCATGCAGTATTCAAGATGTGGGCATACCATGGATTTATATAGAGGCAATATGATATTTTCTGTCTTATTATCTATCCCTTTCTTAATGATTCCCAACATTCTGTTAGCTTTTTTTGACTGCCGCTGTACATTGAGTGGATGTTTTCAGAGAACTATCCACAATAACTCCAAGATCTCTTTCTTGAGTGGTAACAGCTAATTTAAACCCTATCATTTTATATATATATATAGTTGGGATTATGTTTTCCTATTTGCATTATTTTGCATTTTTCAACATTGAATTTCATCTGCCATTTTGCTGCCCACTCACCCAGTTTTGTGAGATTCCTTTGTCTCTTTGGAGCTTTTGATTATTATATCCTAATGGCCTGAAATGCACTGATTACATTCAATTAGTTCTCTGACTAGAGATTCTACAGTCTTCTGAGTTTTCTGTGAGGCTAACCACTTGTTTTTCCATCTTGGTCACTTGAGATTTGAACATTAGCTGTCATTACTGACTGGTATTATCAACAACTTACTAAGCAAATGGAAAAGTGCCAACTATCTTTAAATTCTGCGATCATTCCTTTTACTAAGAAATCAAGTTTGGACAATGAAGAACTTGCCTAATTACTGTTTACTCTCAAACCTCTCGTTTTAGGGATGGTGTTTGGTACATCAGTGCTTATTCAATTCCAAGTGCACTTGGACACCAATGACATAACAAGTAGATTCCAATCTCCCTGTTGGCTTTCCTTAGAGTTGATACTGTTCTAATCAGAGTCTTAAATTATCTGCTGGATTTAAAATAAACAGCTGACTGTTGTGTTTATGTTGGATCTCTCAGTAGTCTTTTTATAGGTCAGACCAGTCACTAAATTACAGTGCTACCCTTCATTCCTGGAATGTGTCTTGAAGTAAATCAGTGATAATGGGCAAATGTGTTTCATCAATGAATTGGAAGTGTGGTGTCTTTCAAGGTTCTATACTATCCGTTTGGCTTAGACTTTCTACCACTGTGTCGGAAGTCAGCAACAGACTGCACTTTTGCTAGGGAGGTGCTATGGAGTGGAAACTGCTCCCTTCCTGAAAGCTGTCTCTTCCTCCTTTGAAAAAGTATAAACATCCCTTACACCTTAAAGCTTTGGATTCAGAGATGTTTACATTACATTTGTCACCACCTCTTCCAAGCCTCTTCCTCTCTTTTTTAAAGTTGGATTTCTCCATCTGATTTCATGTCTTTGTATTTTAGGAGAGTATTTTATTAGTTTCATCAGAATGTTAACAGTGGTAAGCGTTTTTTTTCTTCTCTCTCTTTTTTAAACTGAAATGAGAACTGAGAAGTTTTTTACTGCCTTTTTGAACCATCCCGAGGTAAAGACAGCACAAGGTAAAAGGCAGATGTTTGCAGAAATTAATACTACAGAGTTTGGGGGGAATTTGGAGGGAAGTAACCGGTTGGGAGTTGTGGAAAAGTTAAAAGGTAATGGTTGTGAAGATGTTAAAGAGTAACAGTTGTGGTGTTATAAGAAGGAAGTTTTTGGTTTGATGATAAAACCCAGTTATGTAAATGTAATTATTTGTGCAACTTGGTACAGTCACATTGAGTGGAACCCTGGTAGTTAAACAGATTATACAAGGGGGACAGGTGGCTACTACCACCACTATGTGTTTGTTCCCAGGAGCCTTTATAGCTATTCTGAGGGAAAATGGGCCCTTTTCCCACAGAAATGGTCTGTAAAGGACTGCTGCAGGCACCACATACTCTGATCTATATTATTTGACTATTGGACGAGTTAATCAAACTCACTAAAGGAACGTAAGGAGTTTCTATTGGAACTTAACTTGACTGTCTCTGATTGTACAAGATGGGAGTGTAATCGGGGTAAAGTTGTGTAAAAAATAATAATAGCAGTGCAAGGAATGTTAAGATCAATGGTTGTGGTTGTGAAACCCTCATTTCTGTATTATTTTATCTTCATGGCCCCCACTTTTCTATTGTTAATCTCTCTGGTTCTCTAATTGTTTCTGTCTGCTGTATAATTAATTTTGCTAAGTGTAAGTTAATTAGGGTAGTGGG